CAAAATTGATTTTCAATTATTGAATAATTTCCTGACTTTGGCGCTCCTAAAGGCTCACTGCATTCAGAGGTGTTACTTTAATCGTGCTTTGCAGGCTTTCCGCTAATGGCCAACTCATCTGCTCATCCATCTTATTTAATCTCCTGAAACACCGTGTTTACAGTTCAGCTTGCAATCTGCTCATGTAAATGCTATTTAAAAACACACTCTCCTCTGTGCACACCTTAGCCCAAGCATAGTGCTGTTCAAGCACACGTTATTCAGACCGTTCGATTTAAAGGGAGGAACTGCGCCGAAGAATTTAAGCATTAGAGAATGATCCCAACACGTGATGCGCTACATATTCCTCAGCAGCAAGTGCTGGTTTATTGATGGAGATGTTGACACGCACGCTCACTAGCTGTTCAGGCATGGAGATGATTTCAGAATAATCTTTGTGACTGAACAACTTCCACCTGCAGGTAAAGATGTTATGAGGTTCACAGCGCCAGAAAAAAGGCTGATAAATTGAATCCAGTTTGTTCTGCTGAGCTGGAAATCGTTCTTGTTACTTTTGCATTCATGCCATGAGTCATTTATTCTCTCAAACATGTGAAAAGTCTAAAAATATGAAGAAAACACTGTGACGTAATAAGGAAATAAAAATCAAGCCGTGCTGAAAAATGCATAAAACTTGTCAATACAGATCAATGAGCATAATTAAAAAAGTGTCTCTCAAAAAAGTATATGAGCCGTTTCTATTAAAAACGGAGACTTTAAACCCTCGACGGTGTTTTCACAGCACTTGCAGCTGCTTTCAATGCTCAGACTCACGAGACTCGTTTCCCCAACTGGTATGAAAGAGACCATCTATGACACAAAAACAAAGTCTGAAATTATTTTCTGTAGACTTTTGTTTCACTGTTAAAATAGACTGAATCAACTGCTGCAATACTTTAGCTAATGTTATTATAATAAAAAGAGATTTATGTTTAAATAGAGCTATATACAACCTAAAGAAATCAGCATGCTGGGTGACAGATGACAGCCCAAGTGACCTCAACCAAAGAAAATGAACAAAATTATGAGCGGTGAATTCACAATTTGAATCTACATGTGGAGCAGATGTTGAGTCACATCTTGTAATTAGATCAAATTTGCAATGCTAGAAGCTTGAAGTCTAATTTTACAGTGCATTTTTGTTTCAGTAATGTAGAACAGTTTGAACAATTGGAAAACGTTTTTCTAAAATAGATAAATGTATAGTTTTGCTGTTATTTCGTTCTTTTTGTGTTACTCCTAACTAAGCTAAAATCATTGCTATCTTATCTAACAAAGTTAAGTCAGGTTCTGTGGACGGATTCTTGTTCTTGAAACCCAAAAATTTTCAGTCAGGTCATCAGTTGGTGCTAAGATGGTGTCTTTGGCATGCCCCCTCCTCTGGGTGTCCAGATGAACTGACTGAAAATTGTTGGATTGTATACCTGGATTATTGAGCATGGACTTTGTTGGTTTTGAACCAGTTTGACATGACTGTCGATGAGGAAGAGGACTGGCTCCAGAGGACAGGGCGTTTCAAAGACACCATCTTAGCACCAACATAACTGGTTTGTTCCACTTTGGAGTAAGCTGTTTGGGGGAAGAATCAGTTTTGTGTTGTGTGTTTCCTTGACTGATGAAGCCTTCTGGATGGAAGGTGAAACGTTAAAAAAAAAAAAAAAAAAGAAACTGCTCAGATGACCTGACTGAAAATTGTTGGATTGGATACCTGGATTATTGAGCATGGACTTTTTTGGTTCTTGTTGAAACGTTTCGTCTTTTATCCAAAAGACGTCAATCAATCTGAGTTGCAATAAACTCAGTCTTATAAATATCTCCTTCTCCTAGTGGATCAACCAGTTTGCTGGCGACAGCCAAAACTATTGTTTATTGCAGCCCCTCAGACTGACAAAGTCTTTTGGATAAAAGACGAAACATTTCAACAAGAAGAATCTGTCCAGAGGACCTGACTCAACTTTGTTAGATTCGTCTACATGGATTATTCAGCATGCATCAGGATATGTGACGCTAACTGTTCCATAATGCAAATTTTACCACAGGTGCATGAAAATCTTGCAGGGTAACAAACAATTAATATTTTACAATAAATATAACTAGTGATTTTCTCCAAGCTGTTTAAACTTTTGAGACCTTAAAAGTCTTCAGACATGATTTTAATTTAAACTTTGATCAGCTGTTGTAAATCTGGGCAGATACATACTGTTTCCCATCTGGTAGCTAATTATTCACAATATCAATAATCTTACTAATACTAATTTTTTCTCACTCTATGGTGTACTTTTGTTGATGTAAAAGGGTTAAAGGAAATTCAACACATCTATATAACTGGGTGTTATAGTTTTTGTCTGTTTAAGATATTTAAATTGTTGCTAATGGGATGCTAACCTAAAAAAACTTTATTGAACATAGACCGGTACCGGTAGCTAAAATTTACACCATTACTGAAAAGAAAAAGTCACATTTGATAGTTAATATACTGTGTATTTTTGTTTTAATGATGAGGAACACTACTTCATAAGCTGGATAAGTGTTACGTTATTTTTAATGTTTTTTTAAAATATTTATTTCCTTTAGCAGTGGTGCCCAAACCTTTTCCCTGAGCGGGCCAAATTTAAAATCCATCAGAGGGCTGCGGTCCAAATGCAGTAAGACATGAAATGCAAATACTTCTTGAAGTAAAGTCCATTTATTTATCATACAGTTATTTAACCTTAAATTCTGTATAAAGAACAGAACAGGCTGCGTTGGTGGTGGTGGGGGATCTCAGGGTCCTCCCCCAGAGAATTTTGAATAAAATAAATGCCTTTTCCTGTATTTTGGTGTATTTTACAAAGGCTTTTTACAGTAGATTAATATGAAAAAAATATGTAAACTCATTGAAATCCCTGACTGCAAAGCTGCAGCTCTGCAGGTAAGGGGCGTTCGCTTCAGGACAAATTGAGATTGCTGATTGGTCAGTTGCTGACATGCTGGATTGATTGACAGGTGGCAGGACTCGTGCAGGAAAAAAAAAATCATAGATTTTACTGGTCAGTTTGAGACTGTCGTCATTTATTCCATATTCAATATTTTGGTGAACCTAAGGTTTGAGAACTGTTTACTTACAAAATCCTAATGATGTTTTAGTTTTCAGTTGAAATTTAGGGTGCTTGAGCACCCCCAAAAAAGAGGCTAAAATCACTTCTGAAGCCAGTTCATGTTTATAATTCAGGTTATTTTTAAACATTTTATGTGTGATTTATAAGTGTATTACTGCAGGATCAAAGGAAGCTGTTCTTCAGTGGCAGGAAGCTGTAGGAAGTATGTCAAAATAAAATGTAAATGAGTAAAATTAAATAATTTAATGCACAAAATAGCCACTCCAGCTGTATAGTGGCATGAAGGTAGTCATTGGGCTGACTTTCCATTTAACATTAACATTAAAGTCAGAATGACTGAGTGTAAACACACTGACACTTCAAAGGACATTTTAATATAGTAATGAGAACAGCTTGGGGGCCAACTTCGGCCCGCGGGCCACACTTTGGGCACCCCTGTGCCTCCAGAGCTAAAGATACCTGATGCTAACTTTTCAGCAAACAGGTGGCAAATTATTTTTGATTATTCATTCAACCTTTATTCATACAGGTTAATCCCATAAAAAAAACAACAACAATAAAACTCGTAGTGATGTTGGTTTTAGAAGATGGTTTCAATAAGGTCTAACAACAAACAAAGCAGGTGTCAGCTTTATTACTCAGTTCAGTCGTCTTGTTTAACGTTGAAACATCTGCAACAGATGTGCATCCTCGCCGGCTCTTCCAGGATGAATCACTGCGCGTTTTCCCCGGGCTTGTACATGTCCAACACAAAGAGTCGGTGTCACCGGGTTGTGATAAGCTGCTGCGAAGATCCATCAAGAACCAGACCAGCCCACTGGATTGTCGAGCAGTGGACCGTTTGCGCCTCCTCCTCCTCCTCCTCCTCACCCTGCCTGCCTGCACTTACATCCAGCCCTCTCCTCTCGGCTTTTCCACGCAAGCGGACGTGCACGGCGACGGCGCTCACAGCAGCGAGCCGGGAGCGACGACGCGTGTCTCTGCGCGCGGAGCGGACGGTGGATTTGTTGGCGGATTTGGATCGGGGTGGGGGGTGGTGGGGGTTTGGGAGAACTTCGCATGGGACAAAAACCCGCCTTCATCTACGTCTGCCAGCGATTTGTTTCGCCTGGCGTGTTGACGGCGGAGGTGAGGAGGAGGAGGAGGAGGAGGGGGAGCGCAGTTGACTGGGATGAGACATGAATCTACGCGCGCTGGCCCCCTCCACCAGCTGATCGGAATACAGAGGCGACCCGAGCGGCTTGCAGCCTCATCTGCGGAGCTCAGGGGGGGCTTGTGATGCAGCGGCGGCGCTGCTCCAACGGAGACGAGGACCAGATGCTGTGATGTTCGCTTTGCACCGCAGGGCGATGCGTGTTCTACCCCCCCCGAACCGCATGGATTAACGCGCTGAACCGCAACTTTGTTTAGAGACGCGATAGATGGCGAAACGGGACGCGCATTTATCCTCTCCCCCCCCCCCCACCCCCCTCACCCCGGGTGCACGCTTTAGGTGAGCGCCAGTGGCATCAGCCCTGAAGGTCCGCGTGATTTACAGTTTCACGCCACATCTGCTGCTCGTGTCAGTGGATGCGTCGCTCGCGCCGAGCTGCCAAATGGTTTTTGTAAATTAGAAGTAGGCAGGCCCAACATATGCAAATCTCCATCGATGGGGAGATAAAGACGGCTGTGGCTGGTTGTTTGCTCTGCGAGTGTCACGGGGGGGTGTTTGGAGTCCAGCGCATTTAGTTGTTTTTTTTTTTTTTTACGCACACCTCCTGCGGAGAGCAGAGACTGTCACAGCACGTGCACTTTGGACGGCAGCGTCTCAAGAAAAAAGTTTCAATGGTTTTCCGAAAGTTGCCCGGTGTCTCGGCATCGGGCATGGGTCTGCGCCTGTCCCAGAAGTTCGTCTTCTTGCTCTTCCTCTCGGGTTTGGTCACGCTGTGCTTTGGAGCCCTTTTCTTTTTGCCGGACTCCGTTCGACTCAAGCGCATTTTCCTGTCCAAGACTGAGGTCCAGCCGGTGACCGTCGGCTCCGAGAACGATGTCAGGGAGCACCTGAAAAGACCCAAGGAGCAGGAGCACGCGCGGGGCATGACCCCGGCCAAGGCAGAGACGGGCACCAAGACGAAAAGTCTGAGCCACAAACCCTCCGCGTCCCTGGAGGAGACCGAGGCTGGGGCCAGAGCGCAGGAGGACCAGACTCTGTCCAGGCTCAGAACGGAGTCCGCCTCGCAGAGAGCCACCTCCACTGGCCACCATGACGCCAACTCGGATACTTTCAGTTTTAAGAAGTTCCAGAGGTGCCTCCTCAAACCTCCACTGGGCAGAGACGACGGCAAGCCGGCCGACCCAAAAACCAACGAGCGCCGGGACAAAGTGCGAGAGGTGAGTCTGCTGGGTCTGTCTTTATGTCCCACACTTTGGGACTTGTATAAAAGTCTCAACAAACAGGAAGTTGGAACAAACACCTGGCAACATAGCCTGCAGGCAGTTTCTTTTTATTGCTGAGTATTCTGCTGTCTGTTGTTTGAATCTTTTAACAAATACCAGTTCTTTATGCTAACGCAGAAACAGACATTCATACTTCAATAATACAATCATTAGTATCCTGATGCATGCTCAATAATCCAGGTAGAAAAATCTAAAAAAAGTTAAATCTGGTCCTCTGGACATTCAAAAAAACAAAACAAAGCAAAACAACAAAAAAAATGTAGAAACGTTTCGTCTCTCATCCGAGGGACTTCCTCAGTCTGAGGTGCTGTATTCAGCTCAGTCTCTTAAATAGCACCTTCTCAGGGTGGATCAACCAGTTTGTTGCTGACAACCAAAACCAGCTGATCATCATGATCATACAATCATTAGTGTTGAATTTGATTTGTCTTGTGTCTTTAACTGCTGTGAAACGCACACAATCCTCAGTGTACAGATGTTGCCGCATGAATCCCTGTCAGGTTTTTCTTAATGAAGCTAAAATGACCTAAATAATTCTTCTTGCTGTATCCGAGTCTGCAGATTCTACTAGATTGAGACGGCCATCGTATTCTAATTATTGCCCTCAGCTGAAGTCAAAGGCCTAAATGCTTTTGCCTTTGAGTGTGTGTGTTCATTTGTTGGCAGTGTTAACAAAATATCATGAGCCGGTGTACAGATTTTTAATGGAACTTTTGCAAAGTAGTCCTTGGATCGCACAACTGCTTAACTTTTGGAGTCGGCACACTTCAACGCCGCTGAAGCTAATCAACTTCCAACACGAAAAATGTCCAGAACTAAAGTTTGCAGAATTTTATTCTGAATTTGGTGTGGTAGTAGCTGAGAGTCATCCTCAACAAACTTTGGGGTGTTACACTCACTTACAAAAGGGGGCCAAAATTATAACCTTTTTCAAACTAAGGGCCGGTTTCAGAATCTACATCAACTCAAGATTAAGACACCAAACACCTTTTCTTGGTTGCAGGTTCCTCAACTTTGGTCTCATTTGATGTTCTTTGTTACACTTTTTACATCATAATCAAAGATTACTGGAAAAAAAAAAGTGATACAAGTATTTTACATTTAAAATATCATCTTGGGGGTCAGATAAGATGTCAACGTGGACCATATTTGGCCTCTGGGTCTTGAGTTTGACACATAAGCATTAGGGACTAACCGATCAAGTGAGATATCGCATGAGATCATGTGTAATGTTAATTACAAAGTTTTACTAAAAGGTTATCTCTGGCCCCTTCTCATTAACTCTGGCATGAAATGCAGGCGATAAGCTTTACTTCAACAATGAAGTTGTATCCTTAAAGACATTTTTTTTTAAATTCCTGTAGCTGTTAACTCATGTGCTCTAAGGTCACTCCTCGTAGCTGAAGCATTGCTGTCTCCCTCATGCAATCGCCTGCAAATGATACGACTGTGTGCAGTGACTCTCTGGCCAGGAGCTCTTCAAGCTGTGTGCCAGCCTTTGTTGAGCCCTGTGGCACCAATAAGGGCTCCAGAGTGGGAGCGTCTGCGGATCACACATCTGTACCCACTCAAGGCGAGTCAGGCTGGTGAGGGGGTGGAGGCAGGAGTGTGATGGAAGGTCGGTTGTTGGCCAGTGCTTACAGATGGGTTTCAGCTTTGGTATGTGACACGGCTAAGTCCTGTTGTCACTCTCACTTCCAGCCTGGCGTCGCCCTCTCACGCTCCTCGCATGCTTCGTACCTAGAGGTGATGTGCTACATGGTGGCGGAGGCGTCAGAGGACAAAGGGTTATTTGCCTTTAAACTCCACTGAGTCATAGTTTCTGTGTTTGATGCTCTTTCAAGCGAACAACAGTGAGACTCGGCCTGTTTATATTCGCTGCAAAACTCTCAGTTGTCATCCAAGTAAAAGTTATTTTTCCCCCCCCAACATATTCTTCTCATCTAATCATTCAAAGCTCGTTAATGAGAACTGATGCAAACACAAGTATTTTCACTGCATAATCCTAATCTGTCTTTGTAGTTTCAATTTATCATTAAAAATCCATCCTCTAGCTTGTTGTCTGTCTCTCTAGCTTTTGTTTTTCCTGAACGCTTATATCACTCTGCAACCAAAGGCTGACTTGTGTTTTTTAGCTCTGACCAGGTTTACTAAAGTAAAACGGGAAAAAAGGGCTAACAATTAAAAAAAAAAAGTTTTTTTTTGTCTTCCCACAGTTTTGATATTTAGGTACTTCTCAATAAATTAGAATAACTTCAAAAAAGGAGTTTCCATCACAGTAATTTAAATCAATAAGTAAAACTTATATAGATTCATTACACATTTAAGCTTTTATTTATTTATTTATTTTTCTGTTATGGCTTACAGAAAACAAAAACCTAAAATTCAGTTTATCAGAAATTTTAAAGATTAGCTAAGACCTATAAAAAATAAGAATTTTAACCAGATATGTTGGTCTACAGAAAGTGTATATGCACTCAATACTTGGTCTGATTCCTTTTGCATGAATTACTGCGTCGATGCTGCACGGCATGGCGACAATGAGCGTGCGCCACTGCTGAGATGTTCTAGAAACTCGGCTTGCTTTGATAATGGCCCTCAGCTTGTCTGCATTGTTGTCTCTGGTGTCGCTCATCTTCCTCTTGACCAAGCTCCACAGCTTCTGTCAGGTTTGTGTCAGGCCAGTTTGCTGGCAGGTTGTGATATCGTAGTCATCAAACCAGTTATTGGTACTTTTTGCAGTGTGGGCAGGTGCCAAGTCCTGCTGGGAAATAAAATCAGAATCTGCATAGACCTTGTCAGCAGAGGGAAGCATGAAGTCCTGGTAGATTCTGGACTTGTTAAAACCCAGTGGACTAATGGCAGCAGAAGACATGGCTCCCCACTTTATCACTGTCTGTAGAAATGTCACAACTGGAACTCAAGCAATTTGCATTTTCATGCCTCTCCATTCTTAATTTTTTTTAAAATTAAAAATTAAAAGCAAAATTAACTTTTACTGAAAAGGCGTCTTTGGATCACCAAGCACTAGTTCAGTCCTTTCCTGTCCTTAGCCCAGGTAAGACATGTTTGGTTCACGAGTGGCCTGACTCGATGAACGTTGATCCGTTTCTTGGGCGTGGCCCTCGGAGCACTGACTCCAGCTGTAGTCCATGCCTCATCAATCGTAGTCTTTCGTAAGATTTGAGAAGCTGATTTTTAATTAAATTTAACAGAAATAAACTCTTGAATCATGTCACTCTTGTGATATGATTCTTGTATATACCTTCAAAGCCCTAACTTTGGGTTTCTGTTTCCCAGTTCATGTTGTTTGCAGCCAGTGCAAATCTACATGGAGCTTTCTTTCCACTACTGTAATGGAATGTAAAGAAAGGGAACCTCACCCCCCAAGCCAAAAAAAAAAAAAAAAAAGTCTGGTATGGCCCACTGATTGCTTTAATGCCTAAGCTGTGAATGGGCATCATTTTTCTAAGCTGCCAACAACAAGAAAGCAGACTCCCCACCTTCTTTCTCTGTGTGCACATCCACTGCCAAGACAGGGTGAAACCAGGGACAATAACTGCCTGATCACACATCACAAATGTTAAAAGGCAACCCTCAGGATGCCAGTCTGTTCTCCCAAAGTTGCCAAGGGTGCTGCATATTTATTCTAGCAAATGCCTGCTGAAGTCATTCACCTCCAAAAGTCCCCAGCAGGATATAAATGGAAGTAAATTTCATGCAATGGCCGATTTGTAATTCTGTGATGTTGTTTGAGGAGCCTGCATGGCTACTTTGCTGCTTCGCTGGCTCCGGAAAAGAAGTTGGATAGCAGGAATTGCACCACAAAAATGCACGCCAAGAGGATGTCCTTTCTGGCATGCGTGTTTTGTTGCTGATGTTCTTTAGGCTAGCACTTGGGATGTGGAAGTCAAACATGAAATGCAGAGAGGGAACCCATAAAAAGGACGACACAGAATGATGGCGAGCTCTTCGGTTTGGAGGGCTGGAGCTCATTCATGGACTGAAGCCTACACATCTCTGTCCTCTGTTGGTCTCCACAACACTGCATACATCAGAGGAGAAGTGTGCATCTAAAGGCTGTATCTGTGAAGTCTATTTGCTTCTTCCTTCGTCCACGAACTGTTTCACAGAGATACGCCGGTGCAGTCAAATGAGGGCTTTTTGCTTGAGGAAATTGGAAAGTACTGTATAATGTGGCCTCTAACATGATGCATTTGAAAGGGGAAGACACTAACAGAGAGGAGGAGATGGAGCTGACAGCTGAGCTCTGCAGAGAGAGGACAGACTTTTTGCCCTTTCTTGTAGTAAAGCTTCTTCCAGAGGAGCAATAAAAAGCTTCACAGCTTTTTTTGTGCTCTCTCTGTGTGCTTGTGTTCACACAGTCCTTTAGCTATTCAAATCTTTGATAGGAATGTGGAGTTTGAGGTGTTATAGATGGACGTCTTGTTTATGTTTTTATTCATCCAGCTTCGAACCCCCCTGCATCACTGTTTGACCTACATGGTCATCTATCTGTGTGTGAGTGTCTGCATGAAACTTACAACAATAAGCAGATTTTTTTTCTTTTAATGGGAATCTTCTACGGGCTGCAGGAAAATTGTTTATTCTTGCAAAATAAGACAATAATGATAAGACTGTTCACCTCGCTGACACTTTTATCACTGCCTGAGCTTTTCTGGTTTCTTCAGCTTTCTGAAAAATAACAACTTTGAATTGAATTAATAATTTTTTTGGAGTAAACAAAAAAATCAAACTAATCTTAAATAGAAGAACTTTAGAGATCAGATTTTTTTTGAACACATTTCTAACTATTCATCTTTTGGCTTTTCCCTGTTCAGGGGTCTCCTTCTCACTCTGTCCTCTGCATCCTCTGTCCTCACTCCAACTACCTTCATGTCTTCTCTAACTGCGTCCATATATCTCCTCTTTGT